TGCAAAAAAACCCATACAAATGATGAGAGTAAAGAAAGACTCTGTCTATGAGCCTATTATATATGATATCTCATCTGTCACAGGATGTTCACAGGATGTGTGTGTGCAGAAGTAATAGTTGAAATTAGTGACAGTAGCATAAAATTTTAGTGAAAGGGCCTTCTTCCACTAAACCCAGAAGATCTTAAATATCATGTTTCAGCAGTTCAGTGGCATTACAGATTTCTGGATGAGCTTTATGCCATCTTTAATTTTCCATTTATGAGAAATGCCCCAGAACCTGTGACTACCTGGTAACTTTTTAAGATGAGAAGTGTATTGTTCAAGAGGGCCTTAAGTTTCTTTTCCTACTGATTTATCAGGAAAACTGGAAGCAATTAAATATTCCTGGTTCTTTTCGTGACTTTACCTTGGCATCAAAACCACATGTTTCATGAGGAAAACAATACAGAGTATATAATCTACTGTAGATTATGCTTTCTTTCTAAACTGGTAGTAATCAGAAACTGCAAAGAAATTCACTTATGATTAAAAGAAAAAAAAATTCCCTGATGTACCATTTCTATTTGAATTTATTACTTTGTGTAAATGTGCTGCCTACACCTTGAAGTTGGTCATAAAACACTGATGATGGGGGTGAAGTGGAAAAGCAGGTTAGATTTAAGTACATCTCAAATAGACCATGGATCCGGAGACTTTTAGTTAGGCCAAGGAGAGGAAGATAAACTGTGATTGAGCAATTTTATTATGCATTTGTCTTTGCTTTACATTTAATTTGGCACCCACTTTGATTGCTAGAACTTAATTTTAAAGCCCTGCTACTTTATGCCTCTTCATATTTATTTGTTCTTTGAAGATCGCATTTATGGAAAGTTTGCTTGGAAGGAGTTTCTTAGAGAGTGGGATGGTTTGATGGGGACACACATCAAATATTTAGAAGTTGTGACAAAAAGCCATAAAGATAAATACTTGTCTGAATTTCAGGGTGGTTTTTTTCCTAGACTAAAGTGAAAGAACTTGATGAGTTTGAAGCCTCTGATGGAAACATCATACGTAGTTGTCTCCACTGAAGTAACTTTATTGATTTGTGCAGAGAAATCATCCTTGCAGAACAAGATCTAAGTGATGAGGTTTAAGATTTACAGTTACTTGGTTGGCAAACTTAGAAGGCTGAAGCTACAGCCAAGCCCCCATTCTTTATGTTAATAATTTTTAGACGAAAGGTCAAAAAAAGCCATTCCAATCTTGCAATGAATCTAGAGCATCTACAGCCAACTGGAACACTGCAGATGCTTTCTTGTAGTAATGTCTGTTCTGTCTCTGTGGCTTATGGAAAGTCACATACTCTCAAACTGCTATGTGAATTGCCGATTCAGTAGGTGCTTTTTTTTCAGTATAAAAATTCCGTGACTTATTTCCAAAGAAATATTATTCTTATGCAGAGGGTATATTTTGTTCACTTCTTTCTCATAGAATAGTATTCCTGTGTTGTCCGGTATTTCAGGGAAAAAGAGGACAGTAAAATTTGAGAATATACTTTTGTATCTTCTAGGCCAGTCCAATCATTGGTCAGACACAGCATGAAAGATAGATATCCAACACCTTCCACTTAATATGAAATGAATTACCATTGCATTGTGTACACTTGAATGCACAGTCACTTTCAGGATACATGATTATTCTGAGGATGTCTTTGAAGTTCTCATTTTTAATTTTTTTTTTAAATTCGAGGAAAAATTTACATTAAGAACATTTCAGATTTTGACGTGCTAGGTGAAAATGTGTGTCCTGGGTTCAGTATTTTTTGTTTTGTTTATATATATATAAGGACTTTGTGAGCCTCATGCTCTGCCAGGGAGGAGGGGAAGCCGGGAGGAAGCAGAGACAGGACACCTATGATTTTTGCTGTCTTAGTAGAAGCATCTATAAACCTGGAAGGAAAGTTTGGTTTTAAAGAGTTGTTGGTAAAGCTCTTGTGAAACTGAAAGAGAATATACACAGTAACAGGATATTTTTATTTACATAGGTTTCTACCATAATCAGCAACTTAGCTATGTAATTGACTGCTTAGTAAACACCTTCACTATCCTGGCATAGGAAAGAGAGGGACAGTTGTGTCACATAAAAGCAACAGAGTATATAGTAGCCTTAAAATATAAAAATATATGTATTTGGAGTGTAGAAGAATGGAATGTTTTATGCTAACCTTGACCTTTACATATGCCCTGGGGGGGGAGCAAGGTGATCCCGGAGCTTCGTGGGAACATTTTGGGGCTTATTAGAAACTGAAGTATATCCTGCCTTTCCTGCTGACCACAAAACTAGTGAAAGAAAACTTCCTCAGACTTTTAAAATACAAATGTATTTGCCTATGTTATTAATTGCACATCAGAGTATAAAGAGCAACTCCTCCCCTCTATTTATGTCCTCCTGAGTGCCACAGTGAAGGAGGGATTCAGGGCTCTGTCCCTGGCTCCTCAGCAGGTTTGCTGTGGCTTAGGGTTTTTCTGAATTTATCTTTTTTTAATGTAGGGTAATATGGGGCAATGTCCAGAGAGTGAGAAATGACAAATAACCCCTGGGGCATCTAGCACCACTCCTTGCTTTGCTGGAAAAGTTTGGTGTGTGCTTGTGCAATACTTAATTATCCCATTTCACATGACCATGCAGAGCTGAAATTTGTACTAACTTGTGAGTATTTGCTCAGGTTTTGTTATAAGACAAATGACACTTTATATACACTGATGTTATGTTAAAGTCTGCTCAATGTCACAATATTAGGTAACAACTGAAAAATTGTCCAAGTACTACAGAGCAACAGAACTCACTGAAGAGCATGAAGAACAGCTTCTTTTCATTTTTTCAATATAAACTTCTGCTTTGATTTACAATGCTAATTTGTGCAGCTTTTGACAAGTACCAAGTGTTATTTTATATCTATGAATATCATTTGTATTACTTCAATTGAACTTCTTAAAAGAAGGTTTGTTTGAGAATGTGGTTTAATATTTAAATAATGGTTTTTTTTTTGTCTTTTAAATAGGTGAATGTCTATGTGCTGGGCAAAACTTTCCTTCTGTTGGCCAGAGAACTCTGCATAAACGCTCCAGCTATAGGTATTTTTTTTTAGTTGACTTTTGAGTATTTGGGTGTGGGTTTTGCATGGTTATGTGACAAGAGTGCGTATGTGTGTGTATAGATAGACATAGTACTGTGTGCCAAATGCAAAAGTGGTACCTTTAAAAGTGAAGCTGGAATCAATCGATGCAGAAGAGCTTTGCTGACTATGGGAGCCTGTTCTCCTTTATGTAAGAGTTTTGGGAGCTAGATGCTGTTTTCTTTTAAAAACAATTTTGTTGCTTTTTCCAAGCTATGCTAAGACGGGGCTCATGTATAACAAACTTGTGTATGTTTGCAAGCTCACACAGGCCTGTCACACTTTGGTTCTACAGAGATGCAGTGTTTGATGAATATTTGCCAAACTCACTATTTGTCCATCACCTGTAGCTGAGTTGTTCAGAGCTTGAAATACAGTTGGGTCAATGGAAAAGAAGCAACTTTTTCCAAGCATGTGAATAATTAGCAACTCATCACTGAAATTGTAACAGTGATAGGAAGGTGGGTTCTAACATGTCAAAAGGGCAAAAAAGCTATTGTCTAGGGAGTTAATGTCAATTCCAGTTAAAAGACTGTTTATAGAGAGGTCTTGTGACTGCTACCACCTCTGTGCAGAAATTTCATTTCTGTATCTTTACCCACTCCTACTCCCACACTCCTTAATCTATACTGAGAGCATCAGATGCCTCTGTATACAATACACATACTCCCCCCTTCAGATGTACTCAGCTAGGCACCTAACTGCCTGCCTTTGCAGCAAGAGAACCCGCAGCTCACATACTGAGCACTGTCATAACAGCATCCAGATAGAATGTGGCAGTGCACAGCTATCAGCTGTAGTGGTGTGCTGACTTCATTTGCACAGCTTGATTATTTGGTGAAAAGTTATTTTCAATAATTCACTTGCCTTATTTGTTATTACTGTTTTTTTAAGACAGAATGGGCAGAATTTGTGTTGTGGCTTAGTTTCAAGGTCTAAATTAATGCAGCTTAGGAAAAGGCAAACAGAAAACCCTTCTCAGTTAAATGTAGAGGTACTCGTCACACATGGAAAAATGCTGGTTTAGACTGCTGCTTTAATATTCTTTCCAAGGTCCTCATGATGCAAAAAATTTGTAAAAAACCTGTACTTTTAACTGGCTCATTAGTAATGATTGTCAGATACTTGAAAAAAAACACCTACTTTTATCACTCCTTAAAAAAAATTAAGGGTATTAGCTATAAAATGACCAATAGTGGATAAGACTGCTTTAAGAAAAAAAAGCAACAGGGGAGGGAGGCAAAGATCCAGCAGCTTTTGTTCTTATTAGTAATTTTGAGTGAACTTAAAGGCTGTATTTCAAGTGTTTCTCTAATGTCTGCTCCTAAATGTGAGGATGGGATATATATTTAGATAAGGGGTGCCAGTATTGCAGCTTTGGGCTGAATCAGTGATAATGCCTGTAACTGAGTTAAGCCTTCTCTTGACTCTGGCCATTCAATTGGGGTGCAGTTGGACAGGTGCAAGTGTCAGTGTTACTGTTTGCTGGACAGGCTGGAGGTTAATGCAGATGGTGCATGTGGATGGGTATTAGAGATCTTAAATATAACCACAGGATGATTTTGATTGATTATATTCAGGGTTTGTCTGGCTTCAGCTTAGGCAACATGAAGGAACTCCTGAGCTTCCACAGATGTCAGCTCCCTTTTACGTGAAGGAAATTAAAGGCTACTGGTGGATAGTCTCAGTTACCAGGCAAGGAAACCCTTGTATCTGCAGTGATAGCTAATGCCCTGTATAGCTGCACAGAGGGGATACACTACAGTATCACCACCCGTTAGCTGTACTGTAGAGGAATTAACAGACACAAGCTAGAAGATGAGCAGTGATCAAATACACAGGATTTAGGGCAAGTAAAAATGTTTTATATTTCACAGATTCATAAACTGCTCTAGTTTAGAACATTCTATTTAATTACAGCTGCAGTCTGCACATTAGTTATCTATATACAAAATAAATGCACAGTACGTGCAAAATTTAACATTTCTCTGCTTGTTGCAGTCTTAATAATTAAGTCAAATAGCTTATGAATAAATAAAATAAGATTAAATTCAAGAGCATTCCTTCACTTATTTGTATAGGCTGATGTAGCAGATAGGTAAGTAGCATAACATTCCATACTGCTGCAGAGTTTGTAGTAAAACAGAGAAATCCCTTAATGTGCATCATTGCAGTACTGGAATACAATCAAGGTGAAATGCATCATGCATAGAAAATGAGCTCAGGTATTTGTCCTCCTTGTACTCCAGTACCATTAGTACTGTCCGAGGAGCACTGGAACTGGAACGTCACTTTCCCGCACTGCACTTCAGTCATTCCCTCTTGCCCAAAGTAACTGAGTTCATTACCATCCAGAATAGCACTTACGTTATAAAAGGTATCTTGCTCAACCTGCACAGGGTGTTCAAACCACACAGAGAAAGTGTTACTGGAGCCATCAGAGGTAAACTTTGTCAGATTTTGAGCAAGGACAACTCCTAAGCGCTTCAGTTCAATTTTGACACTGTATTCAGCTTTGCCACAGCTCGATCCATACAATCCCAGTCCTGCTATAAATATCCGTTTGTCTACGGCAAACTGAATACTGTCACATCGCCCTCGGTACCTCCACTGATTGCTGCGGTATGCAGAGGACTGAAACCGATGGCATCGCTGAGGTACCAGTCCTTTTCTTTTTGTCAGCGGAAACTCTAGTTTGGGTTTATTTGCAGCTGTGTACCACAGGAATATGTTGTGAGTTTCCTCAAGGGTGAGGATGTCAGACTGGGCAGCTCCATTAGCAAACTCTTCCAAAGTCATGGTTGGGATCCGCACCAGGTACAAAGCTTTTCCTAATACATTCCTCTTGTTACGTGGTGTAACTGGCAGCCCTTGCCTTTTGCATTCAGCCTCTGCCCAGTTGAGAACAGCCTCGAAAACTACTACTTCCTTGGTGTTGAGTGCCTCCCGGGTTACAATGATCTCTAGTGTTTGTTGATCTATCTCACAGAAGCCCTCTGACTTCAGTGCCATTTCTGCTTGAGCATCAATCACTTCCCAGCAGCGCTGGGTCAGCTCCGGCTCCTCAAAGAGCCTGCTCTGAGACAGCAGGACACAAGCGTTCTTTGCTTCTAAACTGGTCTCCAGAAAATTGACGCAAGCCTTTGCTAGGGCTGGCACAATGTACTTCTTGGCAGCATACAACGTAGCCAGAACTGTGTCAGCTTCCAGGTCTATTTCATCACTATACATGTATCTAGATGGGAGAAAAAAAAAAAAAAAAGTACTTTCTTAGGGAAAAAATAAATATTTATATAGGCCATTAAAGATTGATCTCTTGTCATCTTTGCTGGCAGTGAATCTGATATACAGTATTTGTCAGCACATTAAGTAAACAGTAATAAGTGCATATTGCACAATGCCAATTAGGAGATGCATATTTTATAAGCTACTTTGATTCTGTCCGTGTAATTAGTAGACTTGTAGTGGCCACTTACTTTAATAGGATTAGAAAGGCTGCAGGTTCCACATCTGGTATATGGATTTCGGATTTGACCTCTGCAAGATCACCATAAAACATAGCGTAGAAGACAGAGCTACCAACTGCCAAAACGTACTGGAAAACAGAGAGAAGCCTCAGTAGTATGTATCGGCAATAGCTGAGCATGCTGGCTTGCAGTTAAGAGGTACAGTGAGGGAAAGTTGAAAGCTACAGTGGAGGCAGAAAACTGCCTTAGACTGTGCCTTTTAATTGCAGTGAATTACTTCTAGTATTAGACAAGAACTGCAATTAGGAAAAAAAAAAAAGTGGAACTAGTTGTAAGGCGGGAGAGAAGGCAATATGCACAGCAGTATTAAAAAGCCAAAAATTATCTGCACAAACCTTATGGGCAGGAACTTTCTTGGATGCCCCTGGTGGGCCCACGATGAAGTGAACGTCAGCCATGAGTTCGTTATTAAACATAAGCGCGTTCCTGCAAGCGAGGGGAAGGGGGAGAAGCCCCGTTAGCGGCGGGCAGCCCCTGACCTGGTTGTCCCAGCCCCGCTGGCGCGCAGCAGCCCAGCCTCCCGCGGGCCCAGCCCAGCCCTCGCTCCTGGCCTCGGCGCAGGTGCACGGGGCCGGGCCGCACTCCCGCCCGGCCGTCGAGCTCCGGCGGGCCTGGCCCTTACCTCTCCCGCAGTGTGGGGTGGAAGGACTGCCAGTTGGCGCTCTCCAAGTTGTTGTTGTTGAGGTTTTGGAGCTGGGGCGGCGGGGGCGGCTGGGCGCTCTGCTGGAGCTGCAGGGCGTTCTTCTTGCTGTTGGCAGCGGTGGTGGCGGCGGCGGCGTTACTGTTTGCGATATTGGTGTTGGTGCTGGCAGGGTAAAGTTCTGCAGCCATCTTCTTCTTCAGGGACAGGGGCACTATCTCATAGCATCCTGGCACCTTGCCGTTTGACCTCACACTCTTTTTGGACTTCTTTAAGGTCTCTGGAAGCAGAAGAAAAAAAGTCAAACACTTCATGATCCTGCCATTGAGGCAACCATGGGGCAGTGGCATGAGCAAGAGAACTAACAAATCCCAAATACGAGTCCCACTATCTGGATATTTTGTATGCTTCTAGATGCGCGGTGGCTTTTGGTGGTTTTGGTGTTTTGTATGCGCGCTCTGCGATTACAAGCCCGACGCGCTTTTCCGAGGGGAAAGGGATGCCGCTGTGTCGGATCGGTGCCAGCGCTCACCTTAGCTTCCAGAGGAGTCCCAACCTCCGCGGCTCCGCTGTGCTGGCTGGGGGGGGGGGGGGGGGGTGCTGGCAGGCACTTCCTTCCACCGGGGAAAGCGGAGATTAAACACAACAACAGAAAATCCTAAATCCAGCAGCAGCCCAGCTCCACAGATCCAGCCGAGAAAGCCGAGGCAGCGGGTCAGTAGCGAGAGTCAATCCACAAATTCTCCTAGTGCAGCAGCCCGGCGAGGGTGAAGCGCAACCAGCCGCCCGATCCCCGCTGCCAGCGACCGCGCTCCGCTCCGTCCTTCCCCGCGGGGGCACATCCGCGGCGGCTGGGCCGGGCCGGGCCGAGGCGGCAGCTCTCTGCAGTCCCGCTGCCGGGCGGCCCCAGAGCCGCTCGCACCAACTTTCCTTCTCCTGCTCTGCGGGCGGCAGCCGCCGCCACACGGCGCTGCTCCTCCGCGCTACCCCCGCCTTCGTCGGGGGCGCTGCTGCCCGCAGGGCGCCCGGGCTGCTCCGCGACAGGCGGGCGGCGCTGCCCTCGGCGTCCCCCTCGCAGAGGCAGCAGCGGGATGCGGCGGGGCTTGGCTTGGCTCTGCCGGGCCCTGCCTCCGCCTCCCGCCCTAATAGGCATCCTCCGCGGTGCGCGTCACGGCGGCCGGGGCCAATGGGGAGCGCAGGGGCGCGGCGGGGGATCCGCCCCCCCGCCCGGTCTTGTGTCAGTCTGCTGCGCTCTTCTCCGCCTTCCTCACTGTACGTGCGCTGGGGCGCGCGGAGGCTCTCCCGCTGGTCACGGTGGACGCTCCGCCGCCGGCTGCCCCCGATCCCGGTCCCGTTACCGCAGGGGGAGCGAGCACTGGGCAGGGGCGCCGGGGACCGGCCCAGGGGCCCCCGCAGCGGGGCTGGTGGAGACGGGCGCGCACAGCCCTTCCTGGCCGGCCCGGGCGGGGGCGCCGCCGCGCCGCTCACCGCCCGGCACCGCTCCGCTCCGCAGTGCTGGCCGCCGGGGCTGGCGGGTGCGGGCTCAGGGGGCACGGCCGAGGCGGACTTTCGGAGTCGAGGAAGTTGCAGCGGGTTTTTCCTCCCCTTCTCTCGTAGCCCAGGAGCCGCCGTGCCCCGATTGCGCGGGGTCTCCCGAGCCGGGTTCTCGCTCGCCTGCCTGGGGTCTTCAGTGGGGACCGGCTATCTGTGTGCCTGGTACCGTGGGTTGACCTGCATCCAGGCCCGGCTCCGGCTCCTGTCCCCGGCAGTGCTGTCCTGGCTACCTGTTTGGGGGAGGAAGTAATTCTTTTAATTTCCGTGTTTTTTTTCTATGTTCCTTTTAACGACTGTGTTATATCTAGGAGCTTCCAAAAGCCTGTTCCTGGTCATGAGTGGGATAGGGAGAGATAGGGAAGTCTTCAGAAAAGTAGATGCTCCTGTCGTAAAAAATATCCTATTTTTCTTGCTGTCTGCTTCATGGCCCCCATAGCCCCCGTTCAGGAAAGCAAGATGGTTCTGCCCCATTTGGAGAACTTGCTGGCTCCTGCACAAGGGTTTCAGTCCCAGGGGTCTGCTGGGAGCGTTCCCACTGGACAAGAGGAACGTTTTTCACAGTGAGAACAATCAGCCATTGGAATAATCTCCCCAGGGAAGTGGTGGATTCCCCAATGTTGGACACTTTAAAGATTCAGCTGGGCAGGGTGCTGGGACATGTAGTTTAGGTCACATTTTGCCTAGAAAGGTTGATCCTTGAAGTTCCTTCCAACCTGGTATTCTGTGATTCAAAGGAGATTCCCCTGCCCCTGGGATCATTGTGCTGCTTTAGTACCTGTGGGAGGAATCAAGGTGTTAAAAGAGTTTTACAACTTCTAAATAATTGGGGTTTTTAATGTTTGCATCCATATGGGACATGCTTATGTTAATCTTGGCCCTGAATTTAGTATATTAATATTAGTTTTTAGTTATCTGTGGCCTCTTTAAGGCTTTTCACTTAAAACCCACCCACGTATTTATTTTCTGACTTTGGTAGCTTCAGAATTTAAATTAATGATGTGCAGTGTTTTGTCAGATGACCTGTGGGCATGAATGCCAGTAGAAACATCTGAGCAGCTACAAAGTGAATGTGTAAATGCTCCCGAAACTCAGCTCGGAAGAGAAAGCTGTGAATTGCCTTGTGCTGGATGAGCTGAAGTTGGGTCTCTTGGGATAAAAGGAAATGGAAAAGCAAAGTAAGCACCACTCTGTAGCATCACATGTGTTTCTGTTGTGTTTTTGCGAAGAGCAAAGTTTAAATGTTTGTTGAATCTCAGGCTATAATTTCTGAAATGTTTTTTGTTGTTGTATTTTGGAGTTGATCATTTCTGTTGAGTACAGTTTTATGAAATCGTTCTTGGAAATACAGAGCAACTGCCCGTAATGTCACGGGGATCAGTTAATCTTGTGTAAACCTCTGATTTTTAGGGTCACATTTAGGAGCTGACTGCTCTCTGGCGTTTCTTCAGTTTTGAAGGAGATGTGTTTGGAAGTTCTTGCGTGATAAGTGCTTTCATTTAAATGTTTCTGTGGGGCTGACAGGCGTAATCACCTACTGTGTGATCATTGTAATTATGGATAGCAACAGGGCATCATTGTTATAACTTGGTGCTAAATGAAACTGCTTTGATTAATTGTAAATTGTAAGATTGTTCCAGTGTTTCAAGATGAATTTTCATCTTTATCAGTTTAAGTGCTCACATTGGGAATCAGCAAAGGAAATTGAGTTGAGACTAATAGTTAACAATTTACCATACATCATGGATTCTTGGTCAAGTGATAAGAGGCTGTCAGGAAATGAGAAATTGATACCTTAAATAAGAGTAAATGTGTTAAGTGTAGATTTTACAAGATTGTTTGATAAATTCTAAATTGGTTTAGGCAAAGCACAATCACTACTGACATATTTCAGTTAGTTTGAAGCCGATAACACCAACACTTGAAATAAGTTTGTACATCTGGAGGCAGATTCATGACCTATGTAAATTGTTATAGCGCTGTTGTGGTTAATTGGGTTACAGCAGTTTATGCTGGTGGAGAGTAGTATCTGTAATAAACAGTGTTTTGTATTGTTGCAATATGAATCTTGAGAAGGAGCTGGAATTAAGTTTGAAGATGTAAGTAGACTTCTATTAGGGATGTGGGATTTTAAGCAAACATTTTTTTCAAAGCTTAGTTTGTAGTTAGGCATGAGATGGGATGTGCAAGTTACCTGATTTGTTACTTTGCAGGAGATGTTAAAAGTCTGGGGTCTAAGTCATGCCCTTATTGTGCAAAAGCTTTTCTAAATGCTTATCTTTGTGTGTAATTTCACTGACACCAGTAACTGGTCATTGAACCCTGAAAAGGGTGTAAGAAAAACCTCGTGCAGTGCTTTAAAGGTGTCTTGTCTATAAAGCAAGAAAGGATTTTGGTTTAGCTTAACTATAACGGTGCGTCTAAAGCTTAGTGATCGGAGGATCTAGCCCAGCAGCACAGTCTGTGTTGTTGCTGAGACGTGAAGCAAGACAACTACAACAGCCTTGCTTGAATACTGTGTTTCCTAAAGCAAAGGTTAGGATTAGAAATAGAATCATAGAATGGTTTGGGTTGGAAGGAATCTTGAAGATCATCCAGTTCCAATCCCCCTGCTATAGGCAGGGACACCTTCCACTGGAGCAGGTTGCTCCTAGCCTCATCCAACCTGGCCTTTAACATTGCCAGGAATGGGGCAGCCACAGCTTCTCTGGGCACCCTGTTCCAGTGCCCCGTCACCTTCACAGTGAAGAATTATATTACTTTCTGTTGCAGATCCATGTTTATATATTCCTCGTTTTGCACACATGCTTGAGTTTGGAGATAAGAACCATGAGGTGTCCATGACGGCTCTCAGGCTGTTGCAGAGAATGAAGAGGGACTGGATGCACACCGGCCGCCGGCCCTCCGGGCTCTGCGGAGCAGGTATGTCAGACACAGTGTGTTGCTTCCCTCTCGTGGGTTGAATGGGAGAGCCTGGGGATTGGAAACAGATGAGGACTTTCTCACTTCCTTGGTGATGCTGTGTTCTCTGGAGTTTGTGCTGTCAGGCATCTACAGATTATATATAAAACAGTTTCTGAAACTCAGACTTTATTTTTGCCCTTGCTCTTACATTACTTGCTCAGATCCTTTGTATCTTACATTTTGGAATTTTAGCCTCTTTTCTGGTGCTCTTCTCTACTCTCTAGAAGCTCTAGCTGCTAAAAGTGGGCCGTTTTTGTCAGCTAAAATGACACCCTTAGTGCGAGCCCTTTGATTTGTGTCTTTACACAGAGTCTTATGCAAGAAACGCCCTCTTTGACCTGTTCTGTGAAATTATTTTCCTCTCCTTCTTCATTTTTTTCCAGGATCCATTGCTGTCATGATGCTTACTTAAAACCTACCAGTTTGGGAGGGCTAGGTTAAAAGTTAGTACCAGCCAGCGAGGTCGAAATAATGATGGGTGTAGACAGTCACAGAGTTCACATATAGGCTTTATTTTATTTGAAAGATCTTACGTGTGCATGCTGGAATGAGAAATAGCACTCAAACCTTAGGGAACCCAGGACTATGGCAATCTTCTTGATTTCTAGCCTCTTTTTGTTAATAGCACTTGCTTATTGCACATTGCTAAAAATTTTAGTATAGACCATGGGAGACAGGCCTGGTCTTTGATTCACTGCAGAGACTGTATCTACACAAGCAAGTAATTTGATTCAGTAGATACAGGTCAATAGATTGAAGCAGGTGGTGCCAAGTCCCCTACTGCATATACTCAGTTCACATGGTGTACTGTGGACTGGATGGCTGGGTTTAGTTTGGTCCTCTGTCCTAAATATCTGTGCCACACATTGTTTGGAGGGCCAGTCCTTCAGCCCCTGATGTTCCCATTAAGAACTGCAGCACTTGAAACACCTACCTGTTGTGGAGCTCCGGTTTAGTTTCTTCTGAAAGGAAGCACTTTTGCATGCTTGAAAGTGTTCTGCCCACTGAGCC